GTGTGGAACTTTATGACAGAACAACCCGACATAGCTAGCAACTCACAATGGGTTGTCATATCTTACAAACCCATTCACTGTGTATCATGGAACAACTGCAGAGTTCCTTTCAGCATTGTTGCTTGGACAGGTACTTCAGTATTCAGGTTAGAAGATTTATCAGTTCAAATTTTTAGTTGTGTCTTTAATTGGAACTCCAAAAGAACTGTCCCTATCTTTATCTTTATCTTTATCATTACATTGCATTTATATTCCACCTTCTTCCTCTTGTAAGGAACCCAAGGCAATTTACAAGGTTTTCACCATCTCCATTTTATACTCACAAGAGCAGCAACCTGTGAGATAGGTTAGGCTAAGAGCCAGTGACTGGCCCAAGTCACCCACTCAGTTTCATGGCTGAGTGAAGACTCAAACCCAGATCTTCTGAGTCCTGGTCCTGTACTCTGAATCACTACATTACACTACACTGGGTCACATATTTCACAAATTATTTAGCATTTAGAATGTATTTAATAGGGCCCTGCAGTTTAAATATTGGATATTAAAAATGATGGGCCTGTCCATTGCCTAGTTCTTGAGATTCTATTTAGAGTAAGTTTCCAGAAGTTGGCAGATATGTGTTACAAGTGAGTGACATTTAAACTTAAGGCAATTATGTTTTCAGTGTAATTTAAAGCTAATATGTGATCATTTACTGTAGCAACCAGAAAATATTGAATTTATAGTGCTGTTTTTTCAGTAAAGCAGAAATAAAAACAGGCAAGCAGTGGAACAATTCAAATGACGCTAGAGCTGGAAACTCAGAGACATTTCTCATCAGTTTAGTATTACTTCACCCAATAATAATGCAATATTTATATTTAAGCAGTAACAGGATACATTATTTTTCTAAATTAGAGCTAGTATATAAATATCTAAAAAGTATATGTGGAAACTCATTAATATATTTTTATGTACAAGTATTCACTGTGTTTTTCATTTACATTACTGTTAAAATATTTAGAATGCTTAGCAACAGTGTATTTTGTAGTTCTGATATAAAATTACAATGTACATGTCATAAAGAAAATTCTGTGTGTCTATAAAGTAAATGTATGTTTGCGCTCTCTCTCTCTCTCTCTCTCTCTCTCTCTCTCTCTCTCTCTCTCTCTCATACACACTTGCTCTGAGGAAATTCTACGGAAAGCATGATTGTTGTCCTATGAGATCACAGTGTAAGAATGCTATATCTAAACGTAAATGTTTTTTCAACCTTAAGCCTGCCACAAACAATACAAATATAAAAGGAACCTTACTCCTGCATTTGTCATGGACAAAAGTTCACCTCTTATAATAAAACAGAAAAAAGAAACATTGTTGAGAATAAATGTTTCAAATCCTGGATGAGATCTACAGTGTGTCAAAACCATACTTCAGTGGTAAAATGCATGCCTAGCATGTAAAAACTCACAGTCAAGTTCTCGTAACTGCAGGTAAGTCTGGGGCAATCCCTTGTCTGAAGACTTGGAGAGCTGCTGGACAGTTAGCGTGGATAGTGTTCATCTGGATAGACCAATGGTCACATTCAGTAAAAGGCAGCTTTCTAAGCTCCCCTGGAGCTTGAGCACATGCAACAAAGCCTGTTGATGGGGAAGTTGGTGGCCAATTTCTGCCTCTGGTACCAGTCCCTTGTTCTTCTTGAAATATACTCTGGAGAGTCCCTTGACTTTGCATGAGCTGAAAAGCCCTTATAGCAGGATGTGAGACTACAAACAACCCAAGACTAGAGTCAACCACCACTTACTGTACTAAGTACAATACAGACAGATACTAGACTAGATAGACCATATGGTCTGATCCCATAGGATTCTTTTTATGGAATCCTATGGATTTTCTGCTTTAACCCATTCTGATCAAAGCTGGGACTGTATGTTCACTACCTACCCTTGTAACTCCTCCATTAATATCTATTGGATACTGACTAGATCCTTTTCCCATGCTCAGCCTTCTTTATGCACCACAAGGACTAGGCTTCTTCCACACCAACAGTTTATGTGCAATCTGAGTCAGCCAGGTGGTCATGCTGACACAATGCTTTCTCCACACAAGCTTTGTGATAGCATTTTTGGTGACTGGGTGTAGAGAACATAGTAACCCACACACAAGGGTTGAGTGTGCAGTGTTGTTGAACCATGGGTTAGTGTGTCATCTGAACACAGCTGGGCTAACAACCCTTGGCTTTGTAACTACAAGCAACCTATGCAGAGAACTAATTTTTGGGGTTGGTCACCAGGGATTGTTATCTCAGATGAGTTCAGACAACAAGATAACCCATGCTCCAATAGCAACACACTCTCAAACCATACTCAACACACAAGCATCTTTTATTCAATATTTATGAGCGTTGCCTTGTCTTTACGTTTGTGTAGTTATTTTCCAGTTAGCATTTGAGCCTCTCTGCCCCCTTTGCCAGCCCTACTCAGCCTCTGACTTTGCAGGATTTCCTGTTTTCTTTGCGGCTCTTGTGTTCATGTTGTACAATTGCTGGATATTATATTCTGCTGGATGGAATGCTTTGGAGGAGGGGTGGGCTGTGTGCAGCTGTTCTTTATCTCTCCAACACTGGAAAATTTTGGACTCAGATGCTGAAACACAATGGAGCTTTTGTCCTGGGTCCTGCTATGCCATTGTTTTGCGTGTTCTTTCTACACTGTATTTTGCAGGATACTAACAGTATTTGCAATATTTAGAAAGCTGGGCTAGGAGATCCAGCTTCACATTCCCACTTGGCCACAAAATTTGCTGGATGATTTTGGTAAGCAGATATTTCTCAGACTAAGGTGGGAGACTTTGAAACAGTTCCCTTGTCATGATCAAATGAGATTTTGACTAATGCTTTCTCCTTTGCCAGGGCAGGGGACCTATTAAAATTGTCCTCCCCTAGAGGCTGATGGATCCAGAAGGCTTTCCAAAGAGCTCTTGCAAGGGGTTCTAGCTGATTTGGGTGGAGGTCCTGTCAATTCCTAGTCAACTTCTGGAATACAGAGATCATGTTGCTCCCTGTTCAACTTCTGGAGTACCAGGTGGTTGACACAATCACTCCAAACATGCACTCTGTAGCAGAACTCATATCACTCTGTAGTATACTCCAAATATGAGAGCGATGAAATAAAACAGGAAATGGCTTGAGTGTGGATAGTGAAAAGCTCCTAGTGGGTTAAATGAAATTTTGGTATGCCTACATGCATTTATATCTGGGGGAAGTGAGAGAAGCAAAGAATCAATACTTCACTGCTCTATTCAATCTTCTTTTCGCTGCCCAGAATAATATAAGGATAAAATGCAAGTGGGAAGGAGGTCTATGTACTTCATTCTGAGCATCCTCTTGTGAGATTATTGCATACCTTTTATTTTTAAAAAGCAGTACCTGTGTGATGTACTGAAGTAGCATATATGCTGTGTCCAGACTCAGTGAGGGCCAGTGCCTTGTGCTTATCATCCTCTTCTCCCCAGGATTTGGCCTGTACTTGAATTATGTAATTGGACTGAGTAAAGGAACTGCTCCAAACCACATATAAGACATACAAGAGGAAGTGTTGGTGTTCCTATTTTCAAACTATAGGAAGCATGCACATAATCTCTCCCTACTTCTGCTGCCATGTACCTCCCAGAAGCCTCATCTCTCCAGGCATTTTTTTCCACTTCAGCTTGGGTATCACAATTGACTCTGGCTGAGAAACACATATGCATGGCGGGGGCGGGGGAAGCGGGTGAGCGAGCTGGAGTTGCAGAGAAATAAATCTTAATGGAGAAGACTGCAGATCTTCTCACCTGCGTGTACCTTTACTTCAAAATCAGCTTTTCACACATATATTTTACAGTTAAACAGACATGACTGCTACTGTCACATCTACTTCAGATGTCACCAAAAACTTCACCACGCTGAGGGAGCAGGAAGGTTTTGTGTTTCTAGTCTTTCACAGTTGCCAACACCTCCACTTCATCCTCATCTGCTCTCCTATTCTTTCTCTTGAGCTCATTGTTGCCACAGAAAACACAACCGCATGCAGACATACCATAATAACTATTTATGATTTCTCGACAATGAAGAAAGATGACAGGAAGAAAATTGATGCATTCAAAACATGGAGCTGGAGGAAAGCTTTGTGAATGTTCTGGACTGACAGAAAGACAAACAAGTGGGTCCTAGATCAAATCAAGCCAGAACTTGCCCTGGAAGCAAAAATAATGAAACTGAGTCCATCAAACTTCAGGCACATTATTTTAAGCCTAGACTCACTGGAGAAGACAGCAATGTTAGGGAAAGCTGAAGGCAGAAGAAGACAGGGAAAACCAACTATGAGATGGATTAATTACACAAAGGGAGCTACAGTCTTCAGTTTACAAGAGCTGAACACAGCTGTCAAGGTCAGAACATTTTGGACGGTATTCACACAAAGGGTCACCGTAAGTCAGAGATAACTTGATAACACATAACAACAAACCACAACTGGAGAAATGTGCTCTTTCCTATTGGAGGCATTTAATCTGAGCCCATTCCAATTTAAGAAGCATGCCCAAAATCTGGTGGTATATCTGGCCAAAATCTGGTGGTAAAATTGCTGAATGCTGACATATGAAATCTATAAAGATAGATCTGAGGGCTCTCCCCACCCTCCATGAGATCTGGATGTCTGACTAATAAACAGCATTCTCTACAGCAGGGAACCCCTTAATGATTTGCTTTGAGTTTCTATTCCAGCTGCTGTCATGCATCCCTACTCCAGGTCATGTGACTTCAGAAGACCAGCATAGAGGTAAAATATTTAATTTTGTAATATATTTATATATATTCCATGTTTTATAAATCCTAAAAAATCTAAGCTATTTTCTCAATCTTCAGTGTATATTTAATAATGTTATTAAAGTATTCACTCTTTATATTGTTCTTATAACATATAATTATAAAGAAATTCGGTGGAAAGACCTATACTTGATGTGAAGAAAATTAAGGATCTTACATGAATAGTTCTTTATAGTGGTTCATCTCAGCGGTTGATTCCTGGAACTTGAGTTTAATTTCTTCTACACTACGTGTTAAATCTGAAACAAGAAAAAATAATAATTAATCACCTGTTCTACTCTTTTCCTCAAGGGCTCAAGATTATGCACATTTCAGCACAGTCTTTTTACACTGTGATTTATACATTAACAATTGAATTTTATACTTGTGGCTGTTTCAGTGAACACTTAAACGGAAATCTGTTGAGACTTTACAAAACAGTATGATCTTAGTTTTCTTAATGTTGAGTTTCAAGCCAATTTTTGCGCTCTCCTCCTTCACCCACATCAAGAGGCTCTTGAGTTCTTCTTCACTTTCTGCCATGAGAGTGGTATCATCGGCATATCTGAGGATGTTGATATTTCTCCAGGCAATCTTAATTCCAACTGGTGATTCATCTAGCCCCGCCTTTCTCATGATGTGCTCTGCATAGAAGTTAAATAGGCAGGGTGACAGTATGCAGCCTTGTCGAACTCCTCCTAGATTAATCACAACCACAAGCACCGATGTCTGGCTTTGCTTTCTTCCTTCTTCCTTCTCCATCCCTTTTCCTTTTGTGCTATTCAGAGTGAAAGCCTGAAGGCAGGGACTATTTGGTTTTTGCTGCTATGTAACTCATTTTTAAATTGTTTTAAATAAAGCAGTACAAATAACAATACCCTTGTTATTCTCAGAAAAACTAAAAATTCATGCAGTTTAATATAAAAAAATATTCAGATAATTAGCTTAGGTAAATGAGAATATTATGAATGCAATGAGGGCCAAGTCACACTTTGCATTTGGCCATTTTTTGCAGATGTGGGAGTCACACAAAATTTTCTAATTCTTTTATAAAACTCACAAACAAAATTTGATCATGACTACTCCATTACTTTTGGCAGGAATTTCCCCACTGTAATAAAAAACCATTCCTATCCTGATACATTGTATATGTGCATTAGAAATCAAAATTAACCTTCACTGTCATCATTCCCTAAATATTGTACAGAGCTGAAGCTCCCAATCTTGATTAAGACGTCATGCACAAAAGAGAAATGATATAAACTGTTAAACTTTGCAAGCTGATAATCAATAAAAGAGGACCAATGGTTTATGGGAAACATTAATTTGCTTTGATGGGGTGCAACAGCACCCACATAGACAAATGATCACAGCAAGTGCTGAAGGAAAGAAACAAGTCTTGTAGACAAGTCCCTCCCCACCCCACAATTAATCTGTCACCTTTTGTTAGGTTGCCCTGGCCACAAAATGGCCTTTCTCCCTGCTCCCTGCTGTGACAACAGTAAGACACCTCAGATTGCACATCTCCAAAGCCTGCTGCTTCCCCTTCGGTGAAATCATGTAAACTAACTGAATGACTTTTGCAAGACTGAACAACAGTAACGCCAAAAAATAGCAAAATGCCTAAATACAAGCCTTGGGAAAGTCACAAAAATAGTATTTCTTGGGAAATACCCGAGAGTTTAACAACTGAGAAGAGTAGCTATAATAACTTCTAACACCCTGTCTTGTGTGTCCATGAGTGCTTAGTTTCTCTATGGAAGTTGACCCAGAAAGGTTTTAGTTAAATTATTACAACTGCTGCTACTTACAACAGCAAAGAACAACTGCTCCCTCCCCCTCAACCCAGCAGCATCTTAACTGTTTGCCTGGTTTACAGTGGCCCAAATTTTTGTTCCCCCAGTGCATAGCACTTGTGGAGCACCACAATAGAGCAAAACAATTATACCACTGCAGTAATATTTTGTGCCAGAGAAGCGTATCACTGATACAGCCTTTAAGCTGGCACAACTTCACCCTCAAGTCTTCCACCCCACCTGCCTGCCTTGCTGAAATGCTCTTGATGTAGGCCAGGCACAAGCAACTTGTGGCTGCAACTCCCAACAGCTCTAACCAGCACAGCCAATGGTGAGGGTTTTGGGAGTTACAATCCCACAACATCTGGATGGCCACAAGCTGCTCATCCCTCAGTGGGCCAGCACACAAGTTTGAATTGTGCAGGTGGGAAATCACTTTCAGGATGGGGAAACTTGAAGCAGAAAAACAGGGAAAGGGATGAACACACCTTACCATATTGCTCCAAAGCCCCCTCTCCTAAAGCTGCTTCTCTCTCTCTCATTCTCCTCGCCCCTTTTTTTTTATCTGTTGGGTCTTTAATATGCACATTTGCATAGTTCCATTTTTAAAATTAAAATTATTTGAAGTTGCCATAGTTTCATATGACAGAAAAAAAATTTCTTCCTTAGTTACATATTGCAGAATTTTACAGTTACTTTTTATTTGCATTCAGAATATTTAACTTATTTATGTTATTTCACTCAGAACTTTTCATATGAAACTGTTCAGTTATTAGCATCTGAAAAATCCGACAAGGACAAGACCCTCCTCCACAATAACTTTTCTTTAAAAAGGTATTCTCAATGGCTATAACAGAACTGGTCACAGTGACCTCTTATTACAGGCCCAGCATTGCAGAGATATTATAGATTCCACACAATCATGTTGAATGTTGAGATAACTTTTAAGTGAACCTTTTACATTTTTTTCTGAAAAGCTCCTCTTCCCAGTAAACCACATTTATTGAGAAAACAAACTTACATGCAACAAGGAAAAGAGCTGTAACATACAAAATGCTACCATAATAATCTGAACAGTTATTTCAGTGTGACATAATGGAGAACGGTTGAACAAAAAGAATGAGAGTTACAGGTAAGCAACCTGTCTTTCTTCTTCATGGTTTCTGTATATCACACATATGGTTAATTAGCAAGTTTACCTACCCCTGGATGGTGGAACAGTATTATTACCAAAATAATAACTGTCTCTCCTGTCAAAAGCCGAGCCAGCACTAGCACAGATGTCTATTCTGTAATGTTTGATGAAGGTTGATGAGGCTGCCCAGATGGCAGCTTTGCATAGATCTGGCAGAGGTTTTCCAGCATGCAGAGCAGTTGACGGCATCATCACCCATGCAGAGGGTGTCCCCAGCAGCACAGGGAGTTGCAGTCCTGACAGTTCATATGCCAATTGTCCCCACCACCCAAGCTGATAGTCTTTGGGATGACAGCGGCTGTTCTTTATTCTTACCTCCATAACAAATAAAAAGTTTTTGGGATCAATGGAAGGATTAAATTTTGAACCAGTAGAATGCTAGCACATTACAGATACAGCAGAGACTTCAATAGATTGGATGGGGAAGTGATGTCCTGATCCAAATGAAAGGCGGATGCTATGCTTTTGGAATGAAAGAAGGGTCTGGATGCAGTACTACTTTTTCCTTGTGGAAGGCAAGGTATGGGCAATCTATCTGTACAGGATGCAATTTTCTAAATCGTTGCACCAATGTTATTGCGAGAAGGCTTTTCATTTTGCAGCATACAACCTCCTGGTGAAATGTTTCAAAATGGCATCCAAGACAGTTTTAAGTTCCTATGAAAGGTCAGAACTTACATGCTCTAGGGACAGATCCTGCATGCCATAAGGCACCGTGTTTACATGCAGGCATAGAATTCTCCCCTGATCCTGAGAGATCAGGTCCACTTTCAATGGAAACTGAATGTAGGTTCAGTTGGACATCTTCAGGGCAGAAGCAGCAAATGGTATTCCTCTGGCTAGGTTGGCATGACATGTCCACCATCCAAGACTTGAACAAACCAATTTTATTACCTAAAGATGCAGCTGCTGGTGGTCACCCATGGTGTTGTAAGTATACACAAACCAGAACTGCAGAGGTCACATCTGAAGCCTGACCAGTGGCACCACTAAAACCATAGCCACCTTAAGGCCAAGAAGCCATTGGATCTGGAAAGCTGGCACGACACTTTATCTGCAAACTTGGAGGCCATCTTGATAATAACCATAAGTCTTGTCTCTGGGAGATATACTGTTGCTGCTGTGGAGTATAGGCATAATCTCATCTTAAACACCCTGCTGGAGGGGTGTTCCTGTACACCACCTTGCATTTCTTGAAGGAAAAAGGGCAGGATATTAATATAATAAATTTCTGTTATGCCCTTCTAAAATAATTATTCAAAAGAAATTAGCAAAAATATATATTTAAAGCAATAGCTAAAATATAATTAAAACAATAATGAAATTATATAACAATGAAAACAGCAGAATCACTGCAGGGAACATAACCAAGATTAAATTCAAAATGCAAAGGCCTGCTGAAGTAAGGAAATACCTTGCTTGCCAAAGGTGAGCTGTGATGGGGCCAGACAACTGCCTTCTGGCTGGGTGCTCTGTCTTGGCACCAGTACAGAAAAGGTATTTTCCTTGTGCCCCTTTGTTTATTCATTATTGATTAAATAAATAATAATATGGAAATATAATGAACATAATAATCATTATATTTCCATACTTCAGAAGTTGGAGAAGTGGAGCAATACATGATCTCAAAAGATCATCCCAGTCTTGAGGAGCAGGCAGATTCAAAGAGGTGCCTGGAAGAAGCAATTTCAAGCACAGTTTGTAAGCCTTCTATTGAAGCAGAGGTACAGAACCTCTTCCAGCCAAGAGCATGTTTTAAAGATTTTGCCATCAATAACTAAGATAGCATGTGTCCTCTTTTTACAGAGAACTGACTTCTGTTTTGAAGATACCCTGTTTGAATGGCTGTTCAGTCCAAATCCAGTTTAAAGATAAGGACTCATCAGAAGGGTGACCTGGACCTTGAAGTTGCCCATCAACAGCACCAGAAGAGCAGACAGAGCAAGGCACACAAAGCTTTGTGAGATGAACCGTATTTCTGTTTAAATTATAATGCTTTCTAAATTTGCATTCATACTTATGTATTAACATATGCAAATTCTATGCCAGTAAGTGCTCTTTTGTTCCCTTTTAGAGATGGGTGTCCTCTTCTTTGGCAGTTCACAAGTGACCTCCCTATTTGTTCAGTAACTGAGCAATCAAAGCATTTTAGAACTGGGATGGGGAGGAGAGGGAGAGAAACGGCTATTGTTGGAAACGGTGAATGTGGCCTCTGGGTCTGCACTTCTGCACCTCCATATCAGGAGGAGATAATTCAGTAGGATATGAATCCATCATAAGATGGCAAAATTCCATGCGATCCTGGAGAGGCAGGTCCAGTGGATAATACTGGGGTAGATGTATAAAACAGCCTTACCAAATCAAAGGCAGTTTCCTGCGTATACTTAAAAGAGAAGGGAATGGCCAAACTGAACATTGCTTGAGATGAACACTTCCATTCCTCTTTTGGTTTCATTACTCTACATGTGTCCTCCTAAAAAAATTGCTCTGCTCTCAGGATATCAGTGTCACAGAAAGCTGCTATTGTCCCAATTCATTTGAGATCTTCCTCCATAAAATAATGTCCTTTTTATACATGCTTTTCAGTCCTTCTAGAACCCTTAAGGGAACAGATGATTTTGAAAGAGTCTCTTCAAAAATAGATATATCAAAAAATAGAAATGTACCTCCCCCATGAGTGCTTAAAGTACTGGTTTGTTTAGTTCTTGCTTGGATACATAGAAATTCAGTTTACTGAGGCTTTTTTTGCTCCACAACTGGTCATAATGTCTTTCTGTTTATTGAAAATAAGAGAGCATTCAGCCCCTTCTGGGGTAAAATATGAATTCAGTTTACTAATTTTCTGGTCATACTGACCTCCAAGAAGAGGAAGATAGATTAGGAAAAACAAACATTTTTAAGCATGAATATTTAAAATTACTTCACTGAGAACAAAATGTGCATTTTTATTATGCCAATTCTAGCTCATTAGTCCTAACTGTTCTTTATTTTCTGTTACTCAATATATTTACCACATTTAAGAAAATGTAACTACTACCGGTCCTCCTCAGATATCACAGCTTCATTAAAGTGTGGTAATTACATCTGGAAAGTTTGTTTCCTAATCACCTACTAGGATGTTCATTCTTTCAGAGAAATATTATATGCGGGGGGGGGGGGGACATATCTGTGTAGGTGGAGAATAGACATGAACTGGGGCCATCTCCTCCCTACCTCTGTATAATCATTATTTTCCTGTGAAAGTGTGGGAAGGAGAATAACTGATTTTTTAGGAGAGGAAAGAAATCCTTTTGCAAGGTAGTGGAAAGGGTTTTAATTATTTAAAAAAAAAAGATTAAGCCACCATTTAGAGTGGCAGTTTGAGTGAGCTCAGCTGCCCAGAAATCTGCTCAGATTGTTCCTGGGAAGTGATGTCATATGATGATGTAGAGGCATTCACAGAGGCATTTTTAAGTTGGGGAGGAGGCTTGTAGACAGCCATCTTTTCCAGTCCAGAATGCACCTGGGAAGATGCTATGCAGCTATGTCATCATGCAGAACTGTTCCCAGGGGTGTTCTTGACAATTTTTCACAGGAATGGCAGCCAGTCTTCTGAGTGCAACCAAGTCTCTACTTTGAACAGCAGCTTTGACTTTCTGTTGCTTGAAACATTAAAAACTGAAGTACCTGAAATTGCTATGACTTTTCATTCACTGTCTCTGAAAATTAGCACAATACTTTAGCTCAGCACTAGTTTTCTCATCCAGCTGATTTGGAAGGAAGATGGTAATGGTTATGCATTGTGGTAATGCAGGCTCATGGCACAAGATACTCTTTATTTTATGGAGTGAGAACAGCAACATGTCAAGAAACTGTCCACAGAAGGCCTGACTGAGGGGCTCATTCAGCTCAGGCAAATATTCTGCATTTCATTGTGTTAATTGAGTTAAATCCACCTAATTCCCTTTCTTATGCTTCTACTACAATATGACTACTGTTACCATATTGCCATTACTGTTGTTTATGGAACAACATAGACATATTACCATATTGCCATTAATGTTGTATATGGAACATTATGTCCATTATTCATTATAAGTACTGTTGCACAAGGTTTGAAATCACATCCTTTGAGAGAAGCAGCACTTTGCAATTATATGGTCATTTTCATGTATCAAAGGTACTCATGAATAGCACATTATCATAGCTGCTGGTCAGGACTGTGGAGTGGAAGATGGCATTGCTTCCAAAATTAAGTTTTGTAAGTCACCCAGAGAGATCAGCCATGGGGCATTACAGAAATAAATAAACAAACAAACACATTTCAATTAAAAAGCAAGCCACACAGCTTTTTAATGTGTTAATACCTGCACTGGACTTTAAAAAGAAGCAAGAGGTTAACATTACGCATCTTAAATTTCAGATAAGAGACCACAAAATTAGCAGAAGACCTGGGCAATACCAAAACAGATGCAAGTTTGACGTGTCTAACTGCTCCATGGCTTGACTATATCCAAAATTCACCAAGAATGCCTATGCTACTATAGCTATCTTGCCTAAAATGATAAGCTAGAACAGTTGTAAATATGAGATGGATTGACTTCATAAAGGAAAACACAGCCTTAAACATTGTCTTTTAATTTCTTGGCTGCAGTCCCCATCTGTGGTGATCTTGGAGCCCAGGAAAATAAAATCTGTCACTACCTCCATTTCTTCCCCATCTATTTGCCAGGAAGTGAGAGGACCGGATGCCATGATCTTAGTTTTCTTAATGTTGAGTTTCAAGCCAACTTTTGAAAGACGCTTGCTCCTGGGGAGGAAAGCTATGGCAAATCTAGATAGCATACTAAAAAGCAGAGACATCACCCTGCCAACAAACGTGCGTATAGTCAAGGCTATGGTTTTCCCAGTTGCAATGTATGGCTATGAAAGCTGGAACATAAAAAAGACTGAGCGCTGAATAATTGAGGCCTTTGAATTGTGGTGCTGGCGGAGACTCCTGCGAGTCCCTTCGACCGCAAGGTGATCAAACCAGTCAGTACTAGAGGAGATCAACCCTGACTGCTCTTTAGAAGGCCAGATACTGAAGACAAAACTCAAATACTTTGGCCACCTAATGAGAAGGAAGGACTCAATGGAGAAGAGCCTAATGCTGGGAACAATTGACGGCAGAAGAAGAAGGGGACGGCAGAGAATGAGGTGGCTAGATGGAGTCACTGAAGCAGTTGGTGTGAGCTTGAGTGGACTCCGGGAGATGGTGGAGGACAGGAAGGCCTGAAGGAATGTTGTCCATGGGGTCGCAATGGGTCAGACATGACTTCGCGACTAACAACAACAACAAAACATTGTCTTGAACAGCTGTAAAAATAATCATACTTCCTGGTTCTGTCCCAAATTGGAGGAATTATAGTATCCTTAAACTGAAATTTCAGAATAAGTCAGGATCTGAATCCAGAGTTTGATCCCAGGTTGTTCTAAATAACAACAATATAAATTAAGATTCCCCATGTTTGGACATTACAGGGAACTGTGATTACTTTAAAAGCAGACAGGAAATCTTCTAATCTTCTCCTTAAGACCATGTTGCCTTTCACTGGATCCAGTCATTGTTTTTAAAATTAATAGCAGCATTCTCTTACCTTCAGTTTTCTTCTGTAGTTCATGACATCTGTTTTGTAATTCACTCTCTCGTACAAGTGAAGCCTGAAGCTGGTCAGCTTCCAGTTCAGCTGCATCTAACATCAACCTTAAACGTTGTACCTCTTCCTGGAGGACCAGGTTTTCCTTCTGACATTTGCCTAAGCTTTGGTTCAAACTGGAGATCTCTGAAAAATAAAGTTGAAGTCAAAAGTCCAAGAGTAAATTGTAAATCAATGGAAATAAAAAAGCATTCTGGTCATGGGATTTATCTGAATCCATTAGAGTGCAATCCTATGCTTGCTTACACAAGAAAGAGTGCAGCAATCTGGTGCCTCTAAAGAAATCAAAGGCAATGTTTGCACATATATATCTTTCATGTTTTCAAATATTCATGCTGATGCTCACTTTAAAGATTCCCTTGGCTCTTGAGGCTGTAGAGGAACAATGAGGTAGTCTTATTTTTCTTATGTTTATTAAATATCAGCTTCTGAAGAGAGTTAGTGGGTCTGTGCACTGCCTTCTCATACAGTGAGCCACTGGGACTGCAAACTGGAGTGTTCCTTGAACAGTGAAGTGTTCCAAGACTCTGGAAGAAACTCAGTTTTGTCAATGATTGGCTCCCTCTCATCCGGAGGGACAAGAAAAAATGAAGCTTTGCCTGGGCAACAACTTCATCCAGTGTCTGCCTCCTGGCTCTTCCTCAGTGCCTAGTTAAGAACCATCAGTGGAGAGGTGCTGCTTTCAAGAAGGCTGCTTTTAGAGGCACATGTGGTAGCAACACAAGAGAGGGTCTTTTCAGTAGCCAGCTGTGGAACTCCTTCTCTATTGTCTTTCCACCAGCAGGCAAAGACTGCTTTAGTCAAGAAAGTGTTTGGCATGTAAGTGGGTCTGTTAGGTTGGGGCTGCTTTCATTTTGTATTTTTTTATCCTGTAATGATGTTTTTATTCCACTGATTTAGTCAATGTTAATTGTGCCTGTAAACCTTGAGTGCCATTTTTCAGTAGCTGAAGTACAAATCAAATAAATACAGAGATAAATGACATGAAGGGAGCATCACCTACAGGGAAGCCGGTATGTCGATCTGTTATGAACAAAGGTTTTGCGCAAACACAAGAAGAAACTGTAGCTTAAACGGGCGTGCAAACAAAGCATGATTTCCATAGCTGCTCCTGGAATGGTTTGTTGTCAGGGGCAGCGGAGAGAGAACAAGCCTCCAGTAATCCATGGTCTCTTGTAGGGTTCTCGCAGGCTTGGTTCCAACAAGCCATGTTCAGGCAACACAATCAGCAGCACTTGGGTGTGACTATGGAAAGCACCTTCTGCTTGTGCCCTGCATGCATCATGCTTTAAATAAACTACTGTGGCTGAAATAACCTTTGTTCCTGTTCATTCCTTCATATATATGTTATCGTCAATGTGTAAAATGGGGCATTGTATAGCAAGCCGCCTGGAGGAATGTTGTCCATGGGGTCGCGATGGGTCGGCCACTAATAACAACAACATAGCAAGCCATGGCAATCTACAGAAAAGCATGAAATGTCTGTGTTATTTTAATATATACTTTCCCTAGGCACTGTATCGAATGGCTAGGCATTGATGGCATTCTACAGAATGCCTAGGCATTTGATACAATGCCTGATGGCATTCTATATCAGTGGTTTTCAACCTTTCCACAGCTGGGTACTGGCAAAAACAGGAAAACCACCTTGGGGACCTCTGAGGCAGAAAAAAACCACCATACAGTATTCTGTGTATTACTTTCCAAACACAAAACCAAAAAAATGAAAATTCTCCAAATCAACAAGAAACCAAGCAACAAAAAATGCCAACAAAATCCTGAAATTGGCACAGCATGGCTCCTAGCCAGCTCCCACCAAGCTCTCTCCCCTCTCCCTGCCCCCCCCCCAGCACCAGCGCACCCCCATGAATGCAATGCCAACCGAGGAAGAGGTGGTGGAACACAGCCCATCCCAGTGCTGGTCTGCAACAAGCAGGATGCAGCCCCTCCATGGACAAGCAGGAAATCTCCTGTGGATCAAAGATGTATAAATCACTGTTCTATACAATGCCCAATTTCACACATTGATGGTAACATATATATATATTTCTACATAGGGTTATGAAATAGAAAATTCAACTTAGATAGGGCATTCATTTTTATAATGGAAATTCTTCCCAGCTATTACATTTTTAGTTTGGACCATCTCTGTAGATCTTTTTGAATCTTCATTCAAGTTATTTTATAATTGACTTGAAATAATGTATTACTTTGTCCAGGCACATTTATTCCCAGAAACTTAACCAGGTTATAAGCTATTTCGCATTGCTCCCATTCCTATATTGATGAACTCAACCTTCTGTTCATCCCCTACTTCCTTGTTTCTTCTTCTGAACAGGTATTTGGTGTTCCCCAAGATCTAATTACTTATGATTTTTTCCCAGAGAAGGGGGATTCTTTGCACAAAGTAACCCACATGCAATTCTGGTTCAGAGTTTTTGTCCATTATGTTACATTTACTTATATATCATGCTTTTCTTTAAAATATATCATTTAGCTAAAGTTGTGTCTAAAAACAGCCTTCACTTTAGAGTATGCATAAGTTGCCTTTTGGGTTAAGCACTCACTATCAGAATTATACTTTCCACAGTGGTTTGTAATGAAATACGTAAATATATTGCAACTAGCAATATTCTGGAAAAAAAACAAGCAAACAAGAAAGCAAAAACACACAAACTCTCTGTGAAACATTTTGTGAATAATTGTCCAACATTGTAGCTGCTAAGATTCCATCACATTTTTTATATACATACATGATTTGAAGTCCTTTGTTCCAACTGCAACTTAATTTTAATTTGTATATTTTTATATTTGACTAGTGAGCTTCCTATTTAAACAAGATGAGAGTCCAAAATTCAGTTCCCATTTGCTAAGAATGCATGCTTATGTCAGTTGTTACTGGAATGCACATTAATTGTGACAAGTAAGAGCAGAAAGACTAAAATTGGAGGTAATTATAAGTGTGGTCTGAATTGCCAAGTGCATAAATAGCAAAACACAATTTCAAAATGGCACTACCTGCCTATGGGCATAATGTTCTTTAACCTTCAATTTCTGCTATTCAAGCTCAGTGTCAACATGAAACATGCTTTAAAACAAGGTCTCTTTTCCACAGCACTTGTATCTCTTAGAAAAAAGAAACATACATATTTTTTGCATTTGCCTAAAGAATCATATTCAGAATCTCTCTACAACAGGTACTGAAATAGGCAATTATCATATTCAGTAAGAAATGCACATTTAACAAGTCAGCTGCTCTCAACATTAGCAGAACCTCTTGTACTAACTGACAAAAATAGCACATCCAAATCAGAAGGAACAGGGATTTTAATAGATTGCCCTCCAAAAAGTGTATACCAAAGATTAACATATTGTGCATAAACAACCAAAATCAAAGTCACTCTGAAGGTCATGTATACCAAAGGAAATATGTTTTAAATGGATTTTCCTATAACCCATCTGATCGTGTCAAATTCTTGGCAGAAGTCCAACATCAGAACAGTTTAATCATATCCCATAGCCTTCCTTTTTCCGCTATTCCATGTTTCTGTTCTGAAATGTTACTGCAAATTTAACCCTTCTACAAGAACACTGGCATATTAACACCTCCAGTAGATGATGGAAAGCTAAGAGAACAGCAGTGGCAGCAACACTGCCAATGTGTGTGTGTGCTTCTTTCTTGCCTTTTGTGAACAAAAGTGCACTGAGTTATACCCTTGAGGCATCTTTGGAGACTTCAGATTCCATGACCCTTCCACTCTGTAACTGAAGGGGAAAGATGACAGTTGTGTTTTCTGCGATGCAGAAAATTCCCAGTGTTGTATTTTGTTCAAGCCATTTCACATTGTGACCCACAAAGAACTAGTCAACAATCATGAGCTGTTCTATTCAGCTGCCTTTGTGCAGCAGAATACTGAGCATGGATTCTGGAGATCTGGATCTTAATAAATGTTCAGCTATGAATCTCAAAGTAAGTCAAAGTGCAGGAGGCAACATCAGTGGGCACTGCCAAAGCATGGCTACAAATGGGCTATTTGACTGCTTTGCTTCTCATGTGATAGTTGTCAAACAGTGAGCTGTCACATGAGAAGAGAAGCTGAAAGGAGATCTTTTCTGGCAAAAGAGGGTGGTGAGTAGCTTACCCCCTTCCCAGCAAGATTCTATAGTTTTGGTTTGTTTTCAGTCATTCCTATCATTTCCTGAGATAATAGGTGCTTGGGAACTGAGTAAATAACCCCATCTATGGAGTTTTGACAGCTGTCAAAACTTGTAAAATACACGTGCATTTTATAGCTTTAATTGTTTTGCTCCAACCAGAAAACAGCAACTATTAGGCTGTATAAAAATATAATAGCTATGAAAGAGAGAGCAGGCAAGCAAGAGATATAGTTTTCAGTGTAGAATTAGTGTGGGGGCTCAAAAAATGAATTAGAATTGTAAATCAGAGTAAAATGCCTGTAGAAATGACCAAAAATAAGATGTTAAAACAGCTATACTCCAATAATTTACCTGCTAAACCTGTTATATTAAAGGCTTTTAACTGTAAAACCCCCTCTCCTTTTAGTGCACTCCATTGGCTAAGAAAGCCAAATATCCCTTCTTTTATATGGTTTAGCTCACTTCGTATAAATGGAAGAACAACAAAGGCCTTCTTCAGAATAAGCAAATGTTGTTTCAGAGCTTTTCTGTCAAAAAAAGAAAAAAACCTATTGGTCATTGATTTTTAAAACAAAGTAATACGTAGAGCAATACGTAATACATATAATATTTAGAAGGATACTGATCAGGAAAGGCAGCAAATTCAATTCTCCACCTTATTTAATGACAACACTTATTCATTCCACTTCAGCTCATCAGTACTTTGACTGCATTTCCAAATTTTCAATTGAGCTTCATAAAGCAATTGCAGTTTTATTTCCCATGTTCCTGTCTACCCCATATAACTGGCACTACTGGTATATACATTTTTGAATATCACATACATAATTAAAGATATTATTGACTGGACAAAATGGATGCTCGACAAAGGTTACAGCTAATATACATATTTTAATGGCAGTTGTATATAATTTTCACAAATATTTAGCATGCCAAACAACTCGTAGACATTTTTCTAAATGGTAGCTTAAAATTTTGATGTACAATACTTATAGCTAAGCTTTGACTTATAAAATATCACTCCAAGTAGATAAAGCAAGTAAGTTTAGACAAATGAAGATAAATCTAGAGAGCTCTTTCAACAGAGTTTTGCACATGCTACTTTCTTCTTTTCCATCTCAGCCAAAAGTTGAGTATTACAAAAGAAATACAGTTGAAAACTACAATGCACTGTCTTTCATTTCTGACCCCTATCCTTCTCAACCATTCTGCTTCAGCTTTTCCTGCCATGGTTCAACTTCCTCACTGCTGTTCGTATGACTCAGTCTTACAGAAGCAACTGGAAACCACTTGACCATGAACTAAATACACCTGCAAATAGGCCCCATCTTGCACCTGTCTATATTATTACTCAAACTTGTTAGACACTGCTTCAGTAAGTGACATGTACAAACTTATTCTATAATTTTACCAGATCTATCCAAATGTGTCCATCTCATATTTCACAGAAAAAGTTAAGTGATCTTAAGATCTTACCGCAAGAGTTGTGACTTTCCACATAAAACTTCCCTCTCTTTCTGGATGCATCTCAAATGTTCATTTATATTTTCTAATGCAGCTTGCTTATTTTCAAGCTCTAGAGATAGTGTTTTTATTCTGTAAAAAGAAAATAAAAGATAGCATTATAAGCAGTGTACCTTATAGCCAGGTGTGCCCTTCAGCTCATGGATTTTTTTCCACTCATGACAGGGCAATTGGTAACTCAGCAGAAAAGTGTTACATCAGAAAAACTTATAAAGAGGTTTTTCCTTTGAATAAGTTCTTGGGTATTAATTTAAACAAGTTTGTTTGCATTTTTCTTGCTTTCTGTAATTTTAATGGTTTATAGTTCAAACCTCTTTTTAAAAAAAAACTTTTATCTGGGGGGTGGGAACCTTAGGGCCATGTGTCAAATCCAGCCTTCCAGAGGACCTATCTAGGGTTCCCCAGGTGACCATGTCACTTCTCTTAGCCCCATCTTGTTTCCCCCTGGTGCTGAAGCAGTTTTTTTTCCATTCTGAAAGGTTGAAACACTTCTTCAAAGGCCTAGTTAGTAACAGTAAGATCTTGCAACTATAGTATGCTGCTGGGGGTTCTATTTCATCATCCTTTGCACAAATAGCTGAGGCAGAAGCAATTTTCCCCTTTGGGCCTGAGGCACAAGCAGTTTCCCCACTGCAAAGCAAACCTTAGCGGCTGGAGCCCAAAGTGCATGCATCCCAGTAGTCAGGTCTTGCTTTGCAATGAGGGTCTACAATCTCCTCATGTACAGAAGTGCAGCTGTGGTCCCTTTGCACAGATACTTCATTATATAAAGTCTTCCTGCACAACGTTTTGCAGAATGGCACTAATGGATGAACTAATTTCATTCACACTTCTGGAACCAATGCTGTGAACTTTACTTTCAGGTGCTGCCTTCCCATCCCAGACATTCATATTTCATCAATAAAAGTTTTAATTTTTTTGAACTGCCCAGAGAACTTTGGCTATTGGGCATTACAGAAAAGCAATAAAACCTATGATAAAGGAAGTTAATATGAATTATTTTGTAATCAAAAATATGTGTAATCAGGCATACACGGCAGTGTCTCATAGATACAGCGGCACAGAGATACTGTCCACTTACATGGTGCTCCTGGTCTGTCAGTTGGGTACTGGAAATTCAGAGTTGCATTATACTTACTACTGTCTTAGCAATAATTCATAACTTTACAGTCCTCTACCACAGCCTTTCAGCCCAACCTCTCAGCATTGTGAATTTGTACATTACGTGTTCCGCCCCCTCCTGGACTTCAGCTTGTGCCAGTTATTGATTAGTCAAGAATATAATAAAATTATAAAGAACATCATTTTATTTTCCAGACTTATAGCAAACCAATGACAATGAAAATATCTGCTGTGCCTGCAAATAAGTATCCAGGCTGGAACATATGATCTGCTGTGGCAGCTCAGTGTCAGAAAAAGCTTAACAAAACATGACTTTAAAACCAGCGTTAAAGGTAGAACTGTCAGCACAAACAGATAAGGTGCAAACAGATAAGCTCTCTTCAGTCAAGCTTCCCTCATGAGACTACAGTCATGTGAGGAGCATAGTGTAGGCTGTAGCGATTCAGCTCCAACATGTGGAAGGTTGGAGCCATGGCTGGATAGATGGAACAGCGCAGCAACCCTGACCTCTGCTTCACATTAAGGAAAGGCTACTCCTGGTCTTACAGAGGGATAAAGGTGATTTAAAAGTGTTTCATGGTAGCTATTTTAAGACATTCAAAACAGGATAAAAAATGCGCATAGGGCATTTACTCCAATCTATCAAATTTATTAAGTGTGAGGGCTCTCTTCAGACCAGGGCAAAGGTTGATGCACTGCAGATTTCAATTTATTACTACCAAAACTCTACATACTTATCACTCATCCTGTCCTAATGCACAGGGGAAAGAGAGACATTAGGAAGAAGGATAGTAATTTCTTTAAAAGTAATAAAGAAGGTGCAAATTTAGTTTCCACTCCTGATTAATTTTGCCCTGCATACCATATTATTGTAATAAATCTCCACACAAAAATACTCAGAGCATTTTTTCATACTTAAACATGCCAAAGTTACCAATAAATGATTCCCAGGCATTTAAAAAGTGGGTTATAAATCTTGTTCAATAACATGACAAATATGTAGACGCAAAAGGTTGCAAGAGATCTCCATCCCTAAGAGAAGGGCTCCTGTTCATGGCTCACATGGTATGGAATAAGAGCTTGGTAGTGCTGCCCACACATATAATGACTGGAAAGGGAAACAAGACTTGAAACTGGGGAAGAGATAAAGGACATTTTTATTCTCCCCTCTAGTTCTCTCCTGTTGTACGGAGTTATATAACTGTCAACAACAATTGAGCGTATGTTATAACTATGTAGTGAGAGGAGGAGCATGCAGTTGGTGGATATTTGTGCTCACAGATGTCTTCTCTGTGCATGTTGGGACATGACCAAAGAGTTGTGCAACCTAGAGGCTGAGTCCAGGGCACAGCCCTGTCCCCCCCATTTGTCATGTGAAGCCCCTTCACATAATAAACATATGAAGTAGTTAACATCTGATTCCTGGTTCCTCGAGGCCAGCTTTTCCTAATCTGATGACCTCTAGATGTGTCAGAATATAAATCCCATCATTCCCAGCCAGCAAGGCCTCGGCAAGAGGGTGGCTGCTTTCGACCCTTCTTTCCTTTTCCCCTGTATGCTCCATTTCCAGTGCTCTGTATTCATGCAAGAAAACCGAAAAGAGAGCCTCCTGTATCTGTGTAGGTTCTGCATGTGAGCCAGGATGCCCAGGAACCCACTGTGGGTATTTTTTTTTTAGTAGAATGATGACATTTACATGAAACAAGCCACATTTTGGAAAAATTAAATCTTGATCGTGTCTCCTTGTCCTCATTACAGCCATCAAAACAAAACTATCTGTTTGTCATACAAATCAGTCCACCTTCTCTCTGACTAGCTTACCTTGTAGACTTGTTGTAAGAATACAATGGGAGTGTTCAGACCAATGGGCATTACTCTCAGCTTTTGGCAGAAGGCTAAGATCATGCCCTACTCAACATAAGGCATGATCTTCTGCATTCAGAAATGCATAACTAAGCACCCTTACTCCCAACTAAGAAGAGTAAAGGCTACATTCCCAATATATATATCAGGTGGAAAGTTCTCCCTAGAACAAGCTTTTGGTGTACATGACTAAGCTCAGCACTAAGGCTTTTTCTCTGTGTTTTATGCATTCCTTTATTTTTCAAGGAAGATGCTTGCATATGAAATAACAATCTGGGACACCTTCTGCAGGATCTCGTGGATAAGCCCTTAAGCATTGCTATAAACAGAACTGGATGCCCTTCTACCTGACACTCTAATCAAACATACCTAAACTATTTTTTTAAAAAATACATATACCTTACCTTTATACAAAGTTGGATAAAATACAGTATGAAAGAATGGGGTTACAGCAGAATATGAAAACCAGTAATTTCTCTGGCCCAAAAAATCCTCCAAGCAAATCAGCTGCTAAGAGCTTCTGAAATTTGTAATACTTAAAGTAACAAAATTTACAGCTGCAGTTCTTGAACTGCACCCTTATAAAATAACATTCATCTGTATTTTCCTACAATGAAGATCAGCAATTCAACCTCAAAACTCTAAATTTCAGTCTTTTTCTCTTTTGTATGAGTGGACAGTAGCACAAACAACTAAACAACTGTATTACAATTTTTTTAAAGGATTTTTCAGCCCTGGGTGATAAATACCCCCAGGAAACAACCAGAAGAGAGCAGTCAGCTCTTCCAGGTTAGCTGGAACTCACATATAACTATTCGTGGAGATAGGCTAAAGAAATGAATGCAGTCATTTATTTCTACTCCAGAATTCCTGAAATTTACTGTGGTGAACCACCTTCCCTCCCATAAGCATGTTGAAGAGGTGACAGAGGAGAAACAAACAAACATACAGTCTGTATGGCAGTGGCAACTCTCAGGGCTTATTTGCATGTCCAACAGCCAGTGTGGTATAGTGGGTTGACAGTGACAGACTAGGAAATACACACAAGCCCAATGGTATTTGCAAAAAAAAATCTGAATGTACTATAGAGACAGAGGCCATGTTTGTAGCTAAGTGTTTGGGCTAAGCACTCATCCTTCGCCTCTCTTCTCCTTCCATTGTACATAAGCTTCAATAGGAAACTCTGACTTATATGACGCTGGAATTCCCTGTTATGCCCTGAACCAGACACCTTTAGCTGGTTACTAATGTCGATTAGTAAACCAGGAAATTAAGCCAGCACCACATTTTTGTTAGGCAATTTCAAACAGAAGTTCTCAATATGAATGAACAAAGAACTTAAGACAAGCTATGCTATAGCTGACACACGATGGCAGGTGTATTTGGTCCTCCTTTCTGTTCAAAGCTTGAAAATGATTATTTATAACAAACCTTGAACAATTATTCAAATCAGGCCAGTCAGTAAGCAGAATATAGTTGGTAAGCAACATGTTGCCCATGAGCTTGAGATCATGAGTCTGCAAAGTGCCCTGCTGATAACTATGACTTTAAAAAATAAATAACTTGCAGCTGGGAGCACCTCAAAGGGGCTATCATCCATCTTTATTTCCCTGAAAATCCCTGGAAACCATGTGGAATCAAGAGATATTTTTAGCAAGTAAGGATGGAGTGTGGCTGGAAGCCAGCATTCACTTATGCGGGCTCCTGACAAGTATCTCACAAAAGAAAGGGGCAGCTCCAATTGCTTCTGCTTTTTTTCTTTTTTTCTTCTTTTCCCCCTTTTTAATTTTTTTACAGAACATAAATACATACAATTGAAATGCAAATACATATCCTTCAAAATATATCAATAATATTAACATCTAAAACCCAACTAATAAATAAAAATAACAATAAACACCATGCACCTGCTCCCCAGACCAGTTAATACCTCCACTTCACTTCATGTATTGTAACAATTAACAGTACATGATGTACCCAATTGCTTCTGCTGAAAAGAGTGGAGGGTTGGTGATGGCAGGAGTGAAGCCATGGGGACAGATGGAATAACCCAGTGGAGTTGGGGGAAGAAATAGGGAGACTACAGG